GTAAGATATAGGATAGTAGAGTTATAGAAGACAAAGATGGGAGAATTAGAATTGTAGATGCTCCGAGGCCGCAGGTTTGGATCCTATGTAGGGATGGCCGGTGCACTCACTGGCTGAACGCGGTGCGGACGACACCAAGCCAAGGGTTACGATCCCCTTACTGGTCACACAAAAAAAAAAAATTTAAAAAAAAAAAAAAGAATTGTAGATACACTTGGAGGTAAAGGGTAGAGAAATTGGGAAAATTTCCTTCTGCATCTCTATTTTGTCTTTGAAACAAGATACAAGGTTATTTGGTGAGAGAAGGATAAGTATTGAGGTCATAGTAGAAAACCATGAGAAGAATGATATATGTTTGGGACAATCACAATGCTGGGTAACAAGGGAATCTTACAAAGAATATACTATATAAAAGGAATATTAATAGATATCAGAAATCATAAATATCAGCCCATGGATAGCATTAAAGGCTTTAAATGGTTTGTTAATCCAAAGTTAGCCCCTGGCAGGGTGAATTTTTTGAATTAAGGAAGTGAAGATGTTGAAGGTATGGCCACTAGGATATTACATGTGATCAGTCTTGAGATTTAGTCTTTGTAGGGAAGGAAATGAAGGCAAGAGAAACTGATACCAAGTTTTTTTCAATGTCATTGCTTTCAAAGGACCTCATAATTTTCAAGTTCCCTTAATACAGCTTTGCTAGAAGGTTAGAAACAAAACAGTGATTAGAAAGTTTAGAAACATTTAGCCAGCTAAAAGTTTCTTGTCTCATACTTAAAAATCTGAATGTCTGCACTTGGCTGACCCTATTGCTTTTTATATTACAAGACAAAATCAAAAGTTAGTACCTGTAGCGAAATATTCTTGTGCTTCTCCCACAAACATAATTCTATAAAAATTTAACAAACTGGGGCCGGCCCGGTGGCGCACTGGATAGTGCGCCGCTTGGGAAGCACGGCGGCGCTCNTGGATGGACATTTCTGAAGGATAATTGATGATAATTGATGTTAGTCTGGGATTGGGGGTATAGGAGAGTGAGTTGTCAGCAAGTGCATTTTCCAGATTGGAAAACGTTCACCAAGATGGAGAATTCACGAAGAAGAATAAGTTGGAGTGGGAACAAAGAAAACAAATTTAACTTTCAGGCAACGAAGTTTGAGATTCTTGCAAGACATCTGGGGGGACATGTCTAATAAGACATGTTGGAACTGTCAGAGTCTTAGAGAAAATTTGAAGTACAGGCATAGCTTTGAGTGTTGTGGCATTAAAGTAGCAGTTAAAGCATTAGAATGGATGAAATCACCTAGGGAGAAAGTATAGATAAAACAACATAAAGTGGACCAAGGATGGAATCCTGGGCAACTTGTGTATGCACATGTGTGTGCCATGCATGTGTATGAATGTGTGTATGTGTATGTGTATGATGGGAAAGGTAGTTGAGGGAGGTAGTTAGAGATGTCCTCAAAACAAGTTGAAAATAGCAGAAAAGCAGTAAGATATAGGATAGTAGAGTTATAGAAGACAAAGATGGGAGAATTAGAATTGTAGATGC